GAATCATTCCCACCTTTCACCCCTTTACTGTCCTGTGTGTCAGGATCATTGCTGAGCCCAAGTGTGATGCTTAATAAAAGCTTCAGAAAAAAAACTACTTTCCACTGGCATGAAAGCCGTTTTACACTTCGATGCTGGATGTCTGCTGGAATCTCAATGAGATTTAGTTTAAATATTTGAAAGAGCCCTTCAGAGGTTTCAAGATGAGCAGCGCTGGTGCCTGCAATAGCTGTCTGATGACTGATTTTAGACGGCCGAGAGTGACATTCATTTATTCATCAAAATGGGTCCACTGGGTGTCTTTTAAAACCTGTGGAAAAAAGCCAACTAATGTATAGATAAAAAAAATGCTTTAAATTATCAATAGCTTTACTGTAATGAATAATATAAGCTACAGTTAGACAAACTAGGTTCTTCAGTTTTAAATAACTCATTAAAATTTGACCCGAGATCCAAAATGTTTTTGAGCCATCTAATAATTTGAATAAAGGATGAGGCAGATTTAGAAACACTGCTGCACTTCCAAGGAAACACTTGAATGACCTACTTTTCATATGATGACAAGCACTGCAGACTGGCTCTTTATGGACACACAGCGCTGCAGTTAAAGATTTGGGCTGGCAAGTGGCATCCCATTCAATCTCTTTTCAAACTTGAGCAAAGCACTTATCCTCAAACTGCTCCAGGACAGCTGTTGATGTTGTAAGTGTGCTGTAAATTGATTAGGATTGAGTGTCTGAAATAACAAATAGCCAGATGATTCAATCATGATGTGCCAAGACTCAGGCCTCTCAAATATAATAACATAATAAGGTAAATGGTTTATTTATTTGCAGATGACACCAACATATAGGTTATAAGAATTAAAAAATGTGAACTTGATATCTGAAAGAATGTGTAAAATATATCTAAATGTAAAATAACCTTTAGCTTTTAAGGATGACATTTAAATAAGATTTTCAAATGTCATCTAGGAACGGCAATAGACTAAATGCAGACACCAAGATTTCCCATACCTATTTCAAGTTTTAAGCCATTTTCTGTATCTGAATTGCCATGATTTTATGGGACCAGCACTTATATCTGTTGCATCACAACTTAAATCTGTCAGTCTTCCTTCATAACAGAAAAAACGATCTCAAATGACCTATACAATATTCTGGCACTCTTCAAATTCTAGCAGATTTGAAGCTTGATCAAATTTTATCGTATTATTATTCTGTAACTGTGTGGTTGTGCATTTCCTGCTCATAAACTTGGCATCAAAAACCTCTTTGCCGTGGGAACATTTGGCTCATAGCCTACAACTGGAGAGTATGTATCATTTCCTATGGTATCCATATTTTGTAAAATGTCTCTATACTTTATTACTCCCTCAACTTTCAAATCTTTTCAGTCCCACCCAAAATCAGTTGTAAGGATTTCCTCTAGAAGTCATGATGCCTTGAGAACAGGAATTAAATGAGAGTCTATATGCCTAAACTGCCATATTTAGGCAGGGAGTATGATTATAATTCTAGCCTACCGTTTTGTCATGTTGGTGGTGACAAAAATATGCTTTAATCTCTTATGTCACATGAATATCCCTCTGCATAAACGCCCATTGGACGTCTAGCCATTCAGGGAAAAAGTTTAAATTCTGATGACAGATTTTCAGTATACAATTATGTCAAGATTAAAGACGTAGAATAAGATGTTTTCTGTTCTGAGATACAGCCTGGAGTGAACTGTAAAAACGTCCAGGGAGTTTATTGAAAATAAAGATCTCCTAGTGGCTATAAAAGGTCAACATGTTTTTATGAAAGCTCCATCTCCATAGGGAAATTACAGCATTCTCAAAATTGGCTGCTGGACTATATAACAACATGAAGTCAATGACCACTCTTAACCTTGATTGAAAAAACAATAACATTCGAAAACTATTTGATTCCAAAGGACAACTTGTCATATTTATATCGGTGCACATTTTCAAACATGTCAACACTCTGACTGAGCGATTAAACCTCAAATGTAAGGCCAGCTGACTATTATGACAATAAACGTACAGTCATGCATGAAATATGATAGAACGTGAGAAATAACATTGGAACTCTGTAATAAACACACATTGATGCATGTTGTTATAACCTTTGATAAATATGCAATTCTAATTGACATCCAAAATTTCAGACAGAAATCCATGCTCTGTGAGTGTGAACAGGACCGTTTTCATCTTATATTAGTTATTTTTATGACCTGTCTGTATATGTGTACTGTGGGCAAACGTCTTTTTCTCTCAGTTTTCTTGAATCACAGTTTCAAGGCATGTGATTGGCTGCAAATTACTGATGTCACACATTCATGTGCACGCGCTCCATTAACTCAGGATCAAGCCTGAGTTGACAGAGAAAGTTGATGATCAGCTTCATGGTACCAACAAAGCCGGATTGGACTGGTTTAGTTTTGTCAACTCAAAACTAATCCTGTAACCCTGAGTTTGATCGCTGATGGATCACCATCATGGTACAGGCCCCAGGTCTTCTAAAGCAGTGGCTCTGAACCATGTTCCTGGTTCTGGTTTATTTTGCATGTCTCTTTTGACACACCAATTTCAGGTCTTGGAGTTTCTACTAATGAGCTGATGATCTGAATCAGGTATGTTTGAACTGAGACATGCAAAATGTGCAGTGTTGGATGTGCTCCAGGAATGTGGTTGGGAATCCCTGCAATATACAACCTACGGAGCAGTTGTGAAACAGCTCCACCATGAGTTTGCCCACCAGACACACATCTACATGTTTCACAGAGACAAGTGCCACTTGAAAAGCCAGAACAACATAGTCAATAACTTGTTCTTGGATCCCTCCACTCTAGGATAGTGTGAATGACATGCTTGTCAGCAATACTAAAGCACAACTAATAATAAAACACCTGAGAAATTTCCTTTTTGAAGAGCCTCAAGTGCTTTAGCACATGTAACAAGAGTTTTTTTTCTTCTTCTTGAAAATACCTTTAGCCACCAGATAATTCCATCATGATGCTCTACAAAGAGCTAGAGATTTTGGCTCCGACCTGCTCCAACACACTTTCCTAGAAGTTTCTACTCTGAAGGCCTTGATTGGCTGGTTCAGGTGTGTTTAATTAGGGTTGTAGCTGCAGGACAGTGGCCTTCAAGGAACAGGAAAATGACAAAATAATAATGTAGAAGAAAAAGTATGCTAAAAAAAATACAACTGTTGTTTAAAAAAAATCTATTTGCACAATGCATGCAACCAATGCATTCATAGAGTGGGATTTTTTCCCCAATGATGATTGGGCCAGAGTTGGGAAACCCAGATCTAGACATATACTGGATCAAGTCGGCCAGATTCAACATACAAAAAGTTCAAGATACACTGAATCTGGTAAAAACGCATTTAATGTTCACATAGTAAAGGAAAATAAACTAGTTGATAATTAAAAGGAAATTTTAGTATAAAAGTATATATTTATATTTTAGTATAAAATTTGATTTTTACCTACTACCCTGTTACTTAGTTCATTATATTTTGCAGACTGAGTAGGTCCTGTAGTGTAAATTACATTGTAAATTAAGTTCCACAGAGCTAGTCACGAACAAAAAACATGTAATGTAATGGCAATGTAATGTCACATAAGCTTTCCAACTAATGTAGTAAATGTATCTCTGTCACATTTCCTGCATTGTCCTACACAATCACATCTACGCCTTCAACAAAGAAAAACCCAGGTGGTCCCCCTCCTTCATAGTTCCTCATGGATCCAGTAACATGACCAGACTTTACAGTGCATGTTGAACATTTTGTTGTATTGTGATGGCATTGTGTTCATATAATTGTACATTTATTCAGTCTGCATCCGAGGTTGTTCCTGTTTTGCATCTAAATTCTCTTCAAAGAGAACCTCAGGAACACAATGTTATTGTGCACTGCAGTACAGCTTCAAAAGTTGAGGCACACCAGAGTAGTTGATGTGACTGCTCTATAAATGTTTAACACCATTTTTACAATATAGGTCTAATGGGGTACATTTTTAATTGGTTATTTGTCATCCAGCAGACACTTTCACAGTACACTCATTTTATAGAGTCCACCTGGAGCAGCCTTAGGTTAACTGGTTTACTCAGAAGCACAATCCTGAGACGGGATTTCTCCAACTTCGTTTCAGGACTTCAGGTTGTCAATTCGGATAAGCCACTGTAACACCTTAACTCTTTGATAGGTCTTTTACTTAATAGGGTTTGTCTGAGGACATCAGTAATGGTTACACAGAAAAATGTACTGTTCTCCTCAGAAAAAAAACATCCTGTTTGTCAATTACAAAAAATGAAAAAGTAGAAAATACATCACAACAAACTCTTTTTTCCCCTCGTTCAGAGGGATAGCTCATCCAAAAAGGAAAATTGTGTTAATTATTCACCCTAATGACTGTTCCAAACCTGTATGAATTTCTTTTTTCTGCAGAACACAAAAAACTATTTTGTAGAACACTGTGAATCAAACAACAATGGAGCATATTGACTTGTATTGTATGGACAAAAACTGATCAAAATATCTTTGTTTCTCACAGAAAAATAGTCATACATGTTTGGAACAGCATGAGGGTGAGTAAATGACAACAGATTTTCATGTTTGGGTGAACTAACATAAAACATATTTTTAAACATTTCTAGACTCATCCTTAATTATAACAGAGTAATTAAAAGTAAACATTACAAATGACAGATTTATTCACTTCACACAAACAGTTTAAGACAGAGGATGCCATTTTTAGACTGTGTACTTTTCTTCCCCTTGCCTTTGAGATTTGTGATAGTGTGTGTAACTATTGTACAGTTCATTGAACACTTCCTTGACACCCATTTGAAGGGTGGTGTTCAAAAACTTAATGTCTTGTTCAACACAATGGTCCAAGATACAGTATATGCCTTCTGTTAGATGTGCCTTAATTTCTGGCTGAAGCGTCACCTAGGAAATCAGAAAGAAATAGTGAGAGTACACAATGACAATCTGCAATGTGATTGTTCAGTGCAGTAACATGAGTCTCAGGCCAGTTAGAGGTCAAATGCATTTCACACTTGTTGACAAAAACAACTGGCTCTCAAATCACACTGGACAATGTGTTTCTCCTTTCGAACACAACCTCTGGTCGGTTAGAATAGCATTATTGCCATGAGTGCAGGACATCGGATCAGTCCCAGTGCATCAACTCTCAAGTTATTATTGTGCGGTTTAATATTTATGACACTGAGAAGATTCTTCTAGAATATTCTAGAAAATATTGGCAGGCCGTTCACGAGAGCAGGAAAGACATTTTCAGGAAGTATTTGAGAAGAAATTGGCATGGGCATATGGCAGATAAAAACTGATAATGACTAGTGCCTCACCCTCTGCAGTTCACTGACATATTGTGCAACAATGAATGAAGACAGGACTGTGAAATCTTCAGCAGCATTGGCAATATGAGTGTACATCCTCTCCACCAGCATGGCACACTTCAGAAGACACTCTTTGTCTTTCTCAGAAGCTGAAAAATGAGAGAGAGAGATCACAAAGTAATTGTAATCTTTTAATTAGAACTGTTAACGCATGTGATTAATTCTGCTTAACGCCGTTGGTGCATTTAATTAAAATATAATAATAAACTCTAATTCAAAAAACTTAGCATGACCTCCATAAGACACGTCTATAAACCTTTAGATGGGTGTGTATATCTATTTACATTTTATGTTTAATATTCCAAATTACTTAGGGCACCTTTAATCGAAACATAATTACATAATAAAAAAAAAACATTTGTATAAGAATTCTCTTATGCTCACCAAGGCTGCATTTATTTGATCGATTTATTTTGCTACTACAATTTAAAATAAATGTTTTGTATTTGAATGACATGCCCATCAGAAATTATTCTAATATGCTGATAACGGTGCTCAAGAAATATTTCGGTAACACTTTACTTAAAGCCTTTATGTATGATGCATTATAAAAGTAGTTTTAATGCATTAATTATGCCTTGTAATGCACATTATAATGCATTATACAATCTCATAATTGTAACCACAGTTGATACATTAAAACACTTATTAATTCAGTGTTGCACTATGCATTTTAAATTTGGTTATAGTTATTTACAACAAGATATAATTACATTGCACAATGCACATTATGTATAATTATAATGCATTATACACTTTAATAAAACTTTATAATGCATTATACATAAAGGCTTTAAGTAAAGTGTTACAGAAATATTTCTTATGATTATCAATGTTAAAAATGCTTGTTCTGCATAATATATTATATGGAAACCAAGATACATTTTTTTAGGATTCTACGTTGAATAGGAAGTACAAAAGAACAGCATTTATTTGAAATACATATTTACACTTAATGTAAAAGACAAAACTTTGATCAAATGAATGCATCTCTACTGAATACAAGTATTTATTTCTTACAAATATTAATAATAATAAAAATCTTACCAAACTTTTGAATGGTAGTGTACCATTGTCTGGTATATGCCAAACAACCCATTAATTACACATTTTGTTCTCCTTCTTTAAAAAGGAACTGAACGGGTTAACCACCAATCATTCATTTTTGAATCAAAATACATTTTAGATTATACATTTGAATCCTGGTTAAATTTTTTCAAAGCCAGATTATCTGTCAGACATAAGACTGAGCATCAAATTCATGTTTTAAGAAAGCACCACAAGATGATTAATAAGACTGAAATTGCCTCGCATCTAAATGCATTTCAGTTCTGACCAAATTTTGATGTCAAATATGAAAGTCTGAGAAATGAAGAAAGACTAATGGACATAGAAAAAAAGGCTTTAAACCTTAAGAATTATCAATTCAAAAAGGATACGCCTTCAGTGCTAAAATGTGTTGAGCCTCGAGCTTCAGGATCAAATTCATGGAATTTTTTTCTCCTTCACTTCACTTTGAAATTCAATCCACAGAGCCACAGTCTGCAAGCGTCTGTCTCTGAACACGGCTCAACGATGTGCTTGTCTCTTTAGGTGAATCATACCTCAAATAACATCTGCTTTCTGCACAATAAATTAATTCAGTAATATGGCTCTATTGATACTCAATGAATGACTCATTGGTTGATAACAGGACACTTTTCATATCAAACTTCAAATGTAATAACTTGCCAGCATCAGGTGCTTTCCAGTTTCTTTTGTCCACTACAGCCAACAATAACTGCAGACATGCTGACAAGAAAGGGCCTTCGAATTCATTGATGTTAAATTTGTTTGCTTGCACAGAAGTCTTATGTAAAAGGTTACAACAATGGGATGAATAGAATATTAACAGCCAGGAAAAATCAGCATTGACATTTACACAACTATAATACCCTCTATCTATCAATTAAATAGGATTTAAGCAACAGCGAGTGAATAGATCTCTCAATATACTGTAATTATATACTTATACACACTGCTGTTCAAACGTTTGGGGTCAATAAAACTTTTTGAAAGAAATTAATATTTTAGTCATCAAGAGAGCATTCAATTTATCAATAGTGACAGTAAATACAAGAATTATATTTCAAACAAATGCTGTTCTTTTGAACTTTCAATTTAATGAAAAGAATCACAGTTTCCACAAAAATATTAGATTTTTCATACAGAGATAGATCGCTCTGCTTTTTCTAATTATGCTCTGTACGTATGGAACGAGCTTCAAGGTACATAACATATGGAGTCTGTACCATCTCTCACTCGGTTTAGACAGAACAGTGGACATGTTTTAATAACGGACTAGGATTTGTGTTTTTTTTTAGAAAATTGTGTTTTATGTTTGTTCATTTGGTGGTGATGTGCATTTCTTTGTAAATTTGTCCTTTCTTGCTGTCTATCTTGACCAGGACTCCCTGGTAGAAGAGATATTGTATCTCAGTGGGACCTTCCTGGTTAAATAAGTAAATAAATAAAAATAGATGACAAGAAATGTTACTTGAACACCAAATCAGCCTATTGGAATGATTTCTGAAGTGTGTGACACTGAAGACGTGAGTAATGGCTGCTTAAAATTCAGCGTTGCCATCACAGGAATAAATGACATTTGGAAATATATTCAAATAGAAAATAGTTATTTTATATTATAACAATATTACTGTATATGCAAGTAAATGCAGACTTAGTGAGCATAAGAGATTTAACTGTACATAATGTTTAAATATAAACACTTCTGAACGTGGCTAACATAGGTATGCTTACCTCTGTCAGAGTCACCCCGCTGTCTTCCTTCATGCATGACTGATGAAACCAAGCGATAAAAGCAAATCAGGAAGGAAGGAGAAGCCTTTAACATCACCTGCAAACATTTAAAGCTTTCAAAACTGGTGCACAGCTGTAAAATCCAAAATCCTTAATGTTTATCCAATGAATACAAAAACATTTGACCCTGAATAAATTTAACATTTTAATAGAAGACTGATGTATTAGTTGAATCCTAGCAACAACAATGTAAGCAAGATACTAGTGATTGGTGATTTGTCACTTTTTATTTGGCCATTAAGTTTTCTAAAGAACATATGCAGTTGTTTTGACATGACCCTGTAAAGTTTCAAGTATGAGAGTATTAAAGGGATATTTTACCCCAAAATTGGTTGAACTGTCCATTTAAAGGCTTGCTACCAGCAACTGTCTGGTTACCAACATCCCAACAACAACAAAAGAATCTCGTACAGCTTTGGAACAACATGAAGATGAGTAAATGATGACAGAATTTTCATTATTTTGGTGAACTACCCCTTTAAGACAGATGTTTTGAAAGTGTTTCTGATTTACACTTTAGTGGCAAAAACAACTAACATCTAATTTTTCAGGAATCAGTTATGTGGACATTTCAATTAACTGATTTAAATCTCTGATTCTACATGCATGTCTTGATCATTTAAAAATAGACTTTTGCAGTATTTTACTCCTAATGTGTTCTCTAATTTCACTAAATAAAGCCTCAGACATGAGGTCATGTTGAGATGGTACCAAGTCTCCTACTTTCACTGGCAAAGCAACCTGTACACCTTGAAGTCTTACACAGTTCCAATATTCCTTAACTACCAGAAACTATGAGCTCCTTTCCCCTCAGGATTTGTGGCAACTTCCCAAACTACATTCTAATTTTCACTCATATTAAGTGAAATATTAGGGCACTGTAATATTCACTCCTAACATCAAGCAGCATTAGCCTGTAATACACCTATTTGCATAAACCTACGGAAACATCAGCATTATCCAAAGCATCTCAGAAAACTAATTTAACAATTCGGCATAATGTAACATATTTACCATGACATCCACTGTTTTTAAAGTGCACAATAAAAGCAGATTACTGTATTTTACTTTAAAAAAAAAACTAACAAACAAAAAACCAGTCAGTCTGAGTAACAATGCTTTACATCTCAAGAAATTCCATGTCATACTGTATTTACTAACGGATATATTATGTGTTTACTAACTGATATATTGTATTTTTTATCCATGCTTTGGGATTCATTTTTCCTCTGCCAGACAGTACGTTGGGTGTGTTCATGAAACAAAACCCTGAAAGCCACATTAATAAAACATTTTCCCAACGCAAGTGCAGATAAACAGATGTCAGAGACCCGTCTTTAAAAAACTGATCGCATCTGGCAGAGTTTCTACCTCCATGGCCTCTGGCTGATTTGTTAAGTCAATTTAAAACATATAAGGATATAATTCAAACTTGAAAGAATACAACAGTAAAATGTGTACTTTATCAAGTTTATGTGTACCTTTTATCAAGTTTATGCTCTTATCTGTCTCTCCCTCCAGTCCCTGGACACTCACCTGAGGGTAGCAGTGGATAGTTGCAAACAAGGCTTCATGGATGGCCTCAAAAGCAGCATGGTAGTCCTCCATGGAATGACTGTCGAGAGGCACAAACTGCAGTGCACCCAGAACCACAATGACATGGTGTGGGTTGGAGATCTTTGCTTCACCCTGCCGGAGCAGGACGGTCAAAGTCTCGAGACTTGGTAACGTCAGTGCGCGGGTCAGAGAAGGGATCTTGCTGGACTCCTTTATAACAAACTAAAAACAAATTGAAGAAGGAAAAAAATAAAAATAAATGTAATAGTAATGCCTCTCAATATCAAGTTAAAAAATTAATATGCGAGAAGAAAGTGACCATAGTGCTATTAGACACAAAGTTTGGGTCAGTTAAGACGGCTGCATTTATTTGATTGAAATAATAAACAAAATATTTGATACAGTGAAACCGTAATATTGTGAAATATTTTTATATAAATTATGTAATAAATTCATTGCATGTATTAACTATTACACAACATTATTCCACATAACAATAAACACTACGACACTACAAGAATCTTACAGTGCAGTGGCCTCCTTCAATCTTTGCTGGCACAAGTCCCTCTCTGAGCATCAGCAGTAATAGATGGAACTGCTCTTGAGAACAGCTGGACACCAACTGATTTAGAAGCTCCTTTACTGGCCCCTCCAGCTCCTTCACGTCTGACAATGACAACCACGTTCCTGATGAAATGATTGACAGACTGTTTACAGAACAGGCAGAGGGTTCACAAAAATTTGGGGCATCAATTTCCTCAAGTCAAGCCAATGTTTTGAAAACTTTTAGGATACTGTACCTGACAGCAGCGCATGGATACTCTGCAAAATCTTAATATGGAGTTCTTCAAAACCTTTCACTTTGGTCTTTTCCGCAGCCATGTAGAACGCAGAGAGATAGTGAATTGATGATACGAGGAAGTCCAAAGGGCGGGGTGCCGGGCTGAGTTCCTTTAAGATCTGCTGGCAGAAGCTCTGGTAGAACGCCATGTGGGATATTTTCTCCTGCCCGTCATTTTCAGAGATTGAGGCTCTTGCTAGTTCACTCCTGATCATGACTGTTACCATTTCAACAGAAAAGGACTGAATCTGTCTACTTCCCTTGCGCATCAGCATAGCCTGTATGGCTGGCTCCATGACGGAAGTGGCCTTCTCTAACAAACGAGTCAAAGTCTGATCCAGATGTTTGTTCTTGCCGAGGCTTGTGATCATTTCTTTGCAAAGTGTGCTTAAAGTTACAAGATGGAGTTGTAGCGAGCAGAGATCCCCTGCATCTACAGCCAGAACTCCTGCAGTGAGTTTACTTTCAACCATGAAGGAGGTAAACTTCTCCAGATTGAGGCACATGCTGCTCTTCCTGTCGATTATGAGCTGAATTAGGGACTGAATGAAGTCTTGAACTGACTGTAGGAAAGCCAACCAGATCAGGCCATCCAGACCCTTGAAGAGCCCCTTGCTGCTCCGAGAAAAGAGGGAAGTCATAGTTGCCTCTAAGACATTACTTCCATGAACTACTTTCAGGATCATTTGAGAATTTTTAACCACCAGGAGTGAAGCCATAACATTAAAAAGCTCTTTGAGCAATCCGATAGATGCAGAGTTATCAATGCTTTCATCAAACTGAACACAAGAAGTCAGCGTGAACAAAGTCAGAAAAAGTTCTGAATAGTCTTTAGAAGACATTGCATTTCCATTCAGGACACTTGTGACTTTGAGCAGCTGCTGTAATCGATCTACCTGTGTTTTAGATAGAGGTATGGAAGAGCTCATTTTGACAGAGTCTAACATCTCCTGTCCGATGGCTTTCAGTCTCTTCATGTTTGTTTCTTCATCTTCAACTTCAACCATTTCCACACAAGGTCTGAAAAACGAAGGACTGACCAACTGAACGTGTGATGAGCCTAGCTGTCCAAAAAATGCCTTGATGATGGACTTTATCACTGCAGAGAAAATCTCAGGGAGCTCACAAAGAACAGGACTCTCGAGTAATTGCCTGGATATTAAGGAGACAGAGATCCCAGTGTTCTCCAAATTGCTTCCAGAGGCATCCAAACTCTGAAGCAAAGACTTCAACATGCATTCTGCAAAAACAGATGTGTCATTTGGTCCAAGATAAGGGGCAATTAATGGAAGGTTGGAGGTAACAAGAAACCAGTGGGCTGCCATATAAGTGTTGTCATTAACAGTACAAAACTGAAAGTCCCAGATCTGGTTGGCGTCAAGCATCATTGAAAGCTTTTGCCTTTTTAGAATAAACTGAGCCATTTTCTGCATCTCTGATGCACCTGATGTTTCAGTAGATGGTTTGAGCAAGTGTACCTTCAGCTTGTGGAGTGCAAGGAGATTCTGTAATAATTTACTAAGTGGACTGTCCATGTCCCTTAATGTCAGGGCTTTGTCCACTAAAGTGCCACTCTGTGAGGCAGCCGGCAATGTGTACTTAGAACAGTGAATCTGGAAGAGCGTATCCACCTCAACCCAAGTATGAATAAGCAGAAAGATCACCTCTTGGACCTTCTCCATCCAAGGACCTTCGGTGACAAGGTTCTGCTTCAAAAGGTCTTCAACGACCTTCAGCATCTCCATCATAAGATTCTGAGTCTTCTTCACGATTGGCACCGGGGTGCTGTTGTCCAGGGTCTTAAAACTGAAGAGTACAGCGTAGAGGAGCAAACTCAAAGAAAACACTTTCAGCGCCAAATCCGATGCTTCATCTTGGATGTGGGGGAGAAGATAGCACTGCATCTTTTTTAAAATGAGCCAACAGATCTCGAGATTTTGGCTCGGAGGATTGTCTAGCAAACACTGACTCAGGGCCTTTTGTATCGTTTCAGGCAACAACGGCGGTCTCAATTCATCCGCTGCAGGCCGACACACTACATCAAGCAGCTCTTCTATAAGTTTAGGCAGCTGTCGGAGTTTGGCATAAGTCTGCAAGACGGCAGACACGAGTGCTTCTCTGGCTTTCTTAACACGTACTTCCATGTTGTCTGCATCAACCCACACAGCTGAAAGGAGCTCATCTAAATCTGGCTCCAGGATATGGTGATTCAGTGCGAGCAGAGCTCTGAGACAGCGGTACCAAGCTGGGATGCCCATCTGGGCATTGTTAAATAATAGGCGAGCCAGTTTCCTGTAGAAATTCAATTGCACCTCTCCATGCTGTATTCTGTCTGCAGCCACATTATAGATATCACCAGCCAAACAGGAGTTCAGGAGGTTCTCCAGAGCGAGTAAAGCAATACCCCAATTCAATGCACTAAATTTCTCATCAATATCCAGTTCATCTGTGAACCCCAAAGCAGTAATGAGCTTAGCCATGAGGTGGAAGACCACTTGATTGTTTTCTCCCCCTTTACAAAATGAATCTAGGGCGAATTTAAATAGCAGAGTGAGAGAGTTTGATTTAACAGCATAAAATAAAGCCTCTTCCTCTTTGTTAGTTCCTTGGACATTAAGTTTCAAAAGGATCATATTGACAGGGCCTTGCAAGCCCTTTCCCGCATGGCTCTTTTTGGCCCCAGCTTTATCCTCCGATGGTAAAACTTCTTCCTTGTAGGACAGCAAATGATCAGGGATGAAGAGCGCTGACTGAAGAACAGCATCCACTTTGCTACGGATTTCCTTGCTCAGATGCTGGCGAATCTTGATGTCATCCTTCTCAGTCCACACTCTAGTGTTCAATAAGTGTCTGAGCAGGAGAAGAGGATGAAGGAGGTGTGCTGTTACCTGGGAAAACACTCGGTTGGAGTTTGCCTGCTGTTTCTGCACTGTTAGGTAGGTGCTGAGAACAAGGTGGAGAACCTCAAAGACTTTGAGAGAGAGAGGCTCCTCACTTTTCTGCTGCCTGAGCTGCATGCTGGACAAGCCACAGAGTCGACTCAAGAGCTCCACTAACAACTCATACTTAGCAGTGTAGGTCACGGAAAGCACTGGGGAGGTCAAGATGCCATGGCAACAGCTCAGAATGGTGTGGAAACTGACAGATTTGAATCCAGAAGAACAGTCCAAAATCCTGTCATTGATAATCTAGGATAAAATAAAACAAATGATGAATGCAGTGTTCATTTTTACATAGCTTTTTTAGACCAAAAAAATCCTTAAAATTTAGTTAATATTTCTTCATGCTATATTTATTACTTTTAGTCATTTTTACTCTGAATAAAATTACATAATTTTTTAGCCATCAAAAACAGCATTGACGAAATTTCATATTTTCATTTAAACATGTATCAACATTTAAAAACTGTCCTTGTTGCAAATAATACATTAGATTATGCAATTTTCATACATTATTGTGAATTCTTTATGTTTTAGTTATCTGTTGTCTGCAACTTAAGTGCGTTGTTATAGAAAAAGTGTGCAAACTTGACCTTCATTTTGACTTTATTAGTGTAATTTGAAACAATCATATTCTTTCTAAATCTTTTTTATTTTTTTAAACATTTACCACATTGTTGTGGTGGTATTTTTTTCTCATCATATTTTAGTCAACAGCACGTTCTAGATAAAAGTCTTTACAAATCTTTAGAATATGCATTGTATTTGTTAATGTTGACAAAAAAAAAACTTTACTAATATTCAAGCAATACTGATTAAGTTAAAATAATAACTAAATTAATAGAATAATACAAGCAGAAATTAAATCTTTATATATCCCCAAGAGCACATCTGAGACCAAGCGAATTTATTGCAAAACTGAAGTACTGGTAAATACCTGTGCTAGTGTGAGACGAAGGCTAATGGTTTTTCCTTGACTCAACACATTATGAAGCTTCCTGCTGTGAAGGATATCATCTAGGTAGGTCCATAAACCCTCCACCACCTCCGAGGGTACGTCCACTTTCTTACTGTAAAAACCAGTGAGGGCATGACTTGTCCAGTCAAACAGAACCTTTGATAGGGAAAGAGGCATTAATGTTTGAAAAATATTCATTTAAAAATATTGCAGTAAATTTGCTAGATATATCCAGTTAAAAAGTAAACTTTTATAGTCTCAAAAATATGCAGATAGTCTATATCCGATAAATTACCTGCTCTTTATTAGGAAGAAGGCACTGTGTTGATATCCATGCAAATCGAGCAAGTTTTAGTTTGTCTGGCCAGGGTGTGCGAGAGTTTTTCAGTTTCAGATGGATGCCAGAGAAAATGGCAGCCATTTCTAAATATCTTTGTGTCTAAAAGAACAAAAAGAGAGATTATCATGCTGTGTTTACACATATTAAGACCAATTAAATATTAATAAAAGGTTGACATTAGAGGTAGACAGATAATCAGTTTGACCAATATTTTTTAAACCAATATTCACACCGTACAACTTAATCAGTCAACCAATAAATGACACTGTTTGATAGCCTATGAAGAACAGAACCCAACAACAGTATTTACAGGTATTGTAACTTATTTTATATATAGTTTGAATAAATAACGAAACTTCCGAAATAACAGCCATGACGTTCTTTAAGTGAGAAATCTGTAGTTTTGAAGATGAAAATCCTTATTCTTCATGAAAAAATAATATAGTAATTTATAGTAAATGCTATTGTGTTTTTGAACCATACTATAGTAAAGTACTTGAATTAATTTTCTGTGGTAATTCTATAGTTGCTGTGGTAATATAACAACTATAGTAATATAAACAAATTACCCAATACTGTACTAAGTATTCTACAACTGTAGGATATATTATACTACAATACACTAGTTTACTGTAGTAAAAACTAAAGCATACTACAGTATGTATTACAGTTGATCAGTTCACTATAGTTAATACAGTATGCTGTAGCATTCATTAAAGTGTTGTAAATACTATAATATATACACAGTATAATACACTTTACTATAGGATGGTTCAAAAACTCTATAGTATTTACTATAGGGTTATTATTATTACATAGCTAATTATTATGCATACAAATCTGAATAAAGAGAACACTAGTCTTTCATAAACACATTCATTTTCCACGTCAAAAGTCACATAAAATCATACTAAAGTAAACTCTCTGTTTGAAAATCCTTTGAAACACACCAGCAGATGTCTGGCAGCCCCTAGCGAATCACATGGCGAAACAAACTCAACAAGCGTGCTAGATTTGATTGAATAAAACGGACCGTAGTATAACAAGTGTTATCGTAGGCTATTTTTAATATAATGAGATTAGCTATCTAAAATACTTACAATCTGGTCACACACGTGTTGTCGCTGCGGAGTCTGCAAAGACCTTTAACCTCTTCACTTTAACACCAGACAGTAATAATCGAGAACGAGCATCATCGTTTGGGGATGGAATAAGCATATAAAACTGGTTCATTGTATTGTAACAAAAAAAATGTAAATAAGTAGATTGTCCCAGGAGCTACTGTCAGTAATGTTTAGAACGTCGTCTTGTTAACATGTAGGAAATGTATACCTACGTTAGCAAGACGACGTACTTTGTGACCAAAGTAACCATGATATATTACCGCAAACTGCACATGATAATGAAATCATGTCTGTCAAATTCGAAATGTCAGTCACCCTTAATAAGGACTGAATGATGAACAGACATCAAATAAACCGATGAAACACTTGTTTAACAAGTGGTCGGTTGATTAACATTTTTGACTTGTCGTGTCTGAGAAAGGTTTCGTCAGAGATCATAGATCTGAATAAGTAGAGTCCGCATTAGCCGCGGTGTTTCCAGGTCCGCCATATTGGAAAGGTCAATATCAACCCGTAAGATATGTGCAGCAGGTACCATTTTTACACTATTAGGTTTATCATAAACGCTGGCCAGTTATGCATATTGTAATATATATATATAAATGTCAACATAAAACGGAGTATTAGGTAAACACTATCTGTAAATAATACAGATTTTCATAAACACGGGTTTATTTAAAGCTTCAGTTTTAAAGCAACAGAGAAAAATAAATAAATCTAGCAATCTGTACACATTTATACTATATTTGCTACTAAATCATAATAAATAGAAGAACCATTAATTCACTTAATATATTTGCTACTAAATCAAAATAAATAGAACCAGTAATTAAGTTATTTCTATCAGAAAACAGGTTTTCTTAAAACCGCGTTGACCTGCCCAAGATGGCGGGGCTATTGCCCAGACCAATGCGACATCTCCTTGTTAACATCTATGACGGAGATAGTCCATTGGAGTGGTAGCGCTTCGCTTCCTCGAAAGTCAAGGAATCACCGGGGGTCACCTTTTTATTCCGGTTTTATTTTAAAACACTCTAAATGCCACTTTTCTGTCACTGGAACAGTAATTGACTTTGTGTTAAGTAAAGCCCGAAAGAAGTCGTGTAGCAGGTTTTTGTGACAGGGCGCTGCCGGTGAAAGCGCTGGGCGTGTGTGAAGATAACGCAAACAAGGGCTGGATGTGAAAACTGTCAGGAACAGATAATGCTCAGTAACCGTCGACCCCGGCCTGCACTAACTCAGTCTTTTTAACGAGAGCCCAGTGCCATGCAGTCAAGAGTGTGTCCAGATACTCCAATATTTACAGCACCGCTCGATACATTGGTCATCTGACTTCATACAGTAAGTTTCGACAGATAATGATCAGGTGAGACTCGTAAACTTCGTTTTGGTCAACAAATTACCCAATACTGTACTAAGTATTCTACAACTGTAGGATATATTATACTACAATACACTAGTTTACTGTAGTAAAAACTAAAGCATACTACAGTATGTATTACAGTTGATCAGTTCACTATAGTTAATACAGTATGCTGTAGCATTCATTAAAGTGTTGTAAATACTATAATATATACACAGTATAATACACTTTACTATAGGATGGTTCAAAAACTCTATAGTATTTACTATAGGGTTATTATTATTACATAGCTAATTATTATGCATACAAATCTGAATAAAGAGAACACTAGTCTTTCATAAACATTCATTTTCCACGTCAAAAGTCACATAAAATCATACTAAAGTAAACTCTCTGTTTGAAAATCCTTTGAAACACACCAGCAGATGTCTGGCAGCCCCTAGCGAATCACATGGCGAAACCAACTCAACAAGCGTGCTAGATTTGATTGAATAAAACGGACCGTAGTATAACAAGTGTTATCGTAGGCTATTTTTAATATAATGAGATTAGCTATCTAAAATACTTACAATCTGGTCACACACGTGTTGTCGCTGCGGAGTCTGCAAAGACCTTTAACCTCTTCACTTTAACACCAGACAGTAATAATCGAGAACGAGCATCATCGTTTGGGGATGGAATAAGCATATAAAACTGGTTCATTGTATTGTAACAAAAAAAATGTAAATAAGTAGATTGTCCCAGGAGCTACTGTCAGTAATGTTTAGAACGTCGTCTTGTTAACATGTAGGAAATGTATACCTACGTTAGCAAGACGACGTACTTAACGACCAAAGTAACCATGATATATTACCGCAAACTGCACATGATAATGAAATCATGTCTGTCAAATTCGAAATGTCAGTCACCCTTAATAAGGACTGAATGATGAACAGACATCAAATAAACCGATGAAACACTTGTTTAACAAGTGGTCGGTTGATTAACATTTTTGACTTGTCGTGTCTGAGAAAGGTTTCGTCAGAGATCATAGATCTGAATAAGTAGAGTCCGCATTAGCCGCGGTGTTTCCAGGTCCGCCATATTGGAAAGGTCAATATCAACCCGTAAGATATGTGCAGCAGGTACCATTTTTACACTATTAGGTTTATCATAAACGCTGGCCAGTTATGCATATTGTAATATATATATATAAATGTCAACATAAAACGGAGTATTAGGTAAACACTATCTGTAAATAATACAGATTTTCATAAACACGGGTTTATTTAAAGCTTCAGTTTTAAAGCAACAGAGAAAAATAAATAAATCTAGCAATCTGTACACATTTATACTATATTTGCTACTAAATCATAATAAATAGAAGAACCATTAATTCACTTAATATATTTGCTACTAAATCAAAATAAATAGAACCAGTAATTAAGTTATTTCTATCAGAAAACAGGTTTACTTGAAACCGCGTTGACCTTCCCAAGATGGCGGCGCTATTGCCCAGACCAATGCGACATCTCCTTGTTAACATCTATGACGGAGATAGTCCATTGGAGTGGTAGCGCTTCGCTTCCTCGAAAGTCAAGGAATCACCGGGGGTCACCTTTTTATTCCGGTTTTATTTTAAAACACTCTAAATGCCACTTTTCTGTCACTGGAACAGTAATTGACTTTGTGTTAAGTAAAGCCCGAAAGAAGTCGTGTAGCAGGTTTTTGTGACAGGGCGCTGCCGGTGAAAGCGCTGGGCGTGTGTGAAGATAACGCAAACAAGGGCTGGATGTGAAAACTGTCAGGAACAGATAATGCTCAGTAACCGTCGACCCCGGCCTGCACTAACTCAGTCTTTTTAACGAGAGCCCAGTGCCATGCAGTCAAGAGTGTGTCCAGATACTCCAATATTTACAGCACCGCTCGATACATTGGTCATCTGACTTCATACAGTAAGTTTCGACAGATAATGATCAGGTGAGACTCGTAAACTTCGTTTTGGTCGTCGTCTAATCCAAATGTATGGGACAATGTTGCGAATGACAAGGTTTACTGTAGGGAAACTGCAGCAGTGTAACATTACCTGCTGTCGGTCAGATACATTTTATCATTTGTCTAATCGGATCTCAAGAACACCGTGGAAAAGGCAAGTGTGCACGAACGGATCGTTTGATGTCCTTGTGATGCCCGTCTATAAGGGAAGGAGCATGTCCTGGCTCTCTTGTCTCAGAACTGGAGGGTTGTTTCTGCCCAAGAGAGTGTGGACACACTCCAGACACACGGTTGCTCTCTATACCACATCTACGGACTCCAAACAAACTGCAAAGTCTGTGTTAAATCAGGAGACTAAAGTCAAAACCTCAGAAAACTCGTTACGTGTTCCCTCAGAAGATGTCAAGAAGTTGCTGCAGCTGGCGTATCCTCAGCGATGGAGACTGACAGGCAAGTCAAACTATGCTCATGTTCTTTATTTGGTGTTATTGAAGGCACTTGGTTGGTTTTGACTTTCTTCTGAGATTAGTCCAAATGTTGAGTTTAACATCCCTTACAAAAAATATACAATGATACCTTTACAAAGATAAATATAGAATATCATATCTATATATATATCTCAGATGGTTGCACAAGTGTCAACATTTTAGTTATTAGAGCTACTGTGTAAATGTTGTAAATATTTTTTTAAACGAAACTAAAGAAAAATGCAAATGAAATATCCACTTGTGCAAATGTAACTTTTTGCAAAAGTACCTTGCAAATGACCTTCTGACTGTCCCCATAGCTGCCGTGGGCTTTTTGGTGTTCTCCAGCTCTGTCACCATGTCTGCACCATTTTTTTTGGGAAAAGTGATCGACACCATCTACACTAGCCCCTCAGAGGACTTCACCTCCTCCCTTACCTCCCTGTGTATCATGCTAACAGGGGTCTTCCTCTGCGGGGGCGCTGCAAATGCTGCTCGTGTCTACCTCATGCAAATCTCAGGTGAAGTCTTGAGGCAGATCATGTAAAACAGTAAAGGTAGTTCATAGTGCAGTAGGGACTTGTTTTGTGGGGAATTTGTGGTTTATACTAAGTTTGGGGTCAATACGTTTTTTATAAAAAAATTTTTTAAAGAAATTAATACTTTTAATCAACAAGGACACAATAAATTAATCAAAATTGAAAGATAAAGATATTTATGTTTCAAATAGATGCTGTTGTTTCCTCAGAATCCTGACAAAAAATTATCACAGTTTCCACAAAAATATTAAGCAGCTCAACTGTTTTCAGCATTGATAATATAAAGAAATGTTTCTTAAAAAATTTTTTAAAGAAATTAATACTTTTAATCAACAAGGACACAATAAATTAATCAAAAGTGAAAGATAAAGATATTTATGTTTCAAATAGATGCTGTTGTTTCCTCAGAATCCTGACAAATTCAGCTTTGCCATCACTGGAATAAATGACATTTTAAAATATTTAAAGAAATGTTTCTTGAGCAGCAAATTGGCATATTAGAATGATTTCTGAAGGATCATGTAACACTGAAGCTTGAAAATTCAGCTTTGCCAT